TCTCAATTAAAACACAACAATATTTGCATTGTTTCACGTTGATTGTCGTTAGTGTCTTGTTGCTTTAAGTCTGGATCCCCGTTCAAATGAAAAAGAAAAAGGCCAAACACCAAGCAACAACCTCACTTTGTAGGCCAAAATTGGTTAATCGTCAAGTATGCATATTATAATCAGTGTAATATATTGGCAATTCAATAACTTAAAATAACTATTTTGTGGGGTATGGGGAATGGCAGAACGTGGTCCCGCTTTTATTGGCTGCCATGCAAATTTTACCAATGGAATTGCGAGAGATCTGGACATGCCCTTAATATTGTGAAAGGAAATCATCTAATATTCCGCAGTCGGTATTACAACAACGATAACAATAATACTTATCTGTCTATAATTGAGCCAAATTTTCGTTTTCGAGAAACCGAAATGTACAGTCAAATCTCGTTATACCGATACCCGTTATACCGATAACGATGGAAAACGCCCCCCCCCCCCCCCCAGAATTTAGATAGAAAAATTTCCCCGTTATACCGATAAATTATAATAAACTCTGCTATAACCTTTATACCGATACACCAATGCCATTTACTACTAAATCTCACCCGATAATTGTGTAATATTTACTAAATTGGGAATAATAACAAACATTCTGATTGGTTGATCATTCTGTATACCTGGTGTGAATGTTGAACAAATTTTTACTGCAATATGTCACAACTTAATATTATCACAAAACTCGCAAAACTCAAGAATAGTAAGCCTTTAGCGAAGAGACGAGTTATATTAACTCATGCACAGAAGAAAGAAATATGTACTTTGCTTTCTCAAAAGCCTGCTCCAAACCAAATTGATGTTGCATATCAATACGGGATTAGACAGCATACTGTTTCAGATATATGAAATAAACGAGATCGGTGGTTGGTCATTAGTAATGATAAAATTTCATCAAAAAGAAGAACGCAGACCACTATATCCCGAGGTTGAAGAAGCATTAACAATATGGTTTACGCCGTTATTATTATGACAATATCACTGTTACCGTCGATCTTCTTAAGAAAAAGGCAAAACACTTTGCTAGCATTTTAGGGGTTGAGAAATTTGGTGCTTCCAATGATGGTTCGATTGTTATAAGTCTAGATACTGTATTCAGTCTTATGTAAAATCGGGGGAGGGGGATAGTGCTCCATTAGAGGAAATAGTTCAAGAGCGTGTTAAGCTCCGTGAAGTGCTTCGCGAAATACGATCAGCATGACGTTTTCAATTGCGACGAAATCTGAGTTCACGGAGGAGGGAGAATATAACTTTTCTCCTCTTTTCCCTCTTTTCGCGCATCTTAATTTGTGAAAAAAACGCAAATTATATAAAAAAAGACAAATTTGGTGTTTTGTGTAAAATTTGTCTGTTTTTAAACTTTGGAGCAGCAAGAATTTATCCAAAATCACTCACGCAAATTATAGAAGAAAAAAAAAAATATATATATATATATATATATATATAAAATGGTATGTGCAGTGCGCGAAAAAAGTTTTCGGAAATAACGTTTAACTGTTCAACGAAACTGGTCTAAAATTACAGATATGTTCTCCACCATAGCAAAAGGTTTTACTTATTACTACTCAATAGCTTATTTTATTACCCTTCCTCTCAATTATTTCATTCAATCGGTGATGGCATGCTATGAGTCAAATTAACAGATGTACTTTTTTTAATCTTTTCCCATTCTTTCTGAATTGTTTTACGGAAAATCTCTACTGTAATCTTTTGCTTTTTTGCCAGAAGTTTATTGATTTGTACTTCAACCCTTGTCTTTAGAATTTGCCACAAATTTTCGATTGGATTAAGATCTGGGCTCTTTGATGGTTAATCCAACATTTTTGGACACTGCCGTGCAAGAAGTTCTTTCGTTGCTTTGGCTGTGTGTTTATGGTTATTATCCTGTTAAAAAACCCAATGTTTACCCATAATTTTATTGGCGTTGTCAAACAAATTTTCAGAAAATTTTTCCGATACAGATCACCATCCATGATGTCTGTAAAAGAAAAAATTCTATTGAACCTTTTACAGAAAATGCACCCCAAGAATGAATTTTGTATAGATGTTTTACCACAGCTTTGTGGGGAGGTTGTTTACTAGATTTATAATAAACCTTTTGGGTGTTTCTAAACATTTGTCTGGTGGTCTTATCAGAAAAAATAACTTTGTTTCAGTTTTATTTTTATGTTTTGTAGCAAATTCTAAACGGCATTTCTTGTGTGAAGTTCGCTAGGCACTGTACGACTTGTTACATTAAGATCGGGATGATGCTTATTTAATATATTTGCAAGCTTGGTAGAGGTAGAGTATTGGTTACTTGAGACTAGTTGACCAAGATGACGACGTTGATTGGAAGAGAGTTTTCGGGGTCTACCAGAACGTGGTTTAGGGTCCAAAAATTCCCCATTTTTAAGTTTTTTAATATAATTATAATCGTAGAAAGGTGAAATAGAAGTTAATTTATGTAATGTATTGGCATCCTGAGTACCATTTGCCCACAGAGAGGCTATGGTCTTGCGACGTTGGTCAAATGAAGGTTTTGTCATTGTTTTTTAATAGCAAAACGAAAAAGTGTAAACAAGTAAGACAAATTGTGCGAATTACAAAGTTATGCGGTTGCGTTTTTTTTCAGTGCTACGTGCATAAGGTTAGAACGTACAAAACGTGTTAGATGACATTTTGGATTAGACGCGCATTTCGGGAAGAAATAACGTTTACGTGGCACGCGTTCTATTCCGAAAACTTTTTTCGCGCACTGTATATAAAAAAAAACGGGGTGTTAAAATTAGCGATAAAAATGACAACGAGAATTCATTATTAGTTTTCAAAAAGTCTACCTCTTTTGCGCCATATCTCCATATTTTTATTTCTTTATCTAATGTGTTCATTATGTATATTATAGCGTTACTGGCAGTTAGGACGTTGACTTTAAATCCTGTCATCGGCACCAAGAAATCGAAAATTGTATAACGATTCTTTTTCGTTGCATGCGTCGGGTACTGAGAAACTTAAACCTTTGCTCATACATCGTTATGAGCCGTGATTTCTTAAATGAATCGATAAAAGACAAGTTACCTGCAAACGTTTAACAATACTAATTATATTATAATTAACCATGCCAAGTACGCGAAGAAATCAATAAAGAACGCAAAAACTCCAAGTACGCAAAGGCTATAATGGATGCTAGGAATCCAGACGCTTATGTCAGACGGAATGCAACGAAGATACACGTATTCCCCGATGAGAAGTCATACAAAAAAAATAACATCCGCGAAACATATCGTGGCAATCTCCGTGATAAACTTCTTTACCCTAATAATTTGTACCATAAATTAGCTTTGGAGGAGCGTGAAAAAAATACACATGCAGAAGAATTGCTTGATGACGAAAGAATGGGATAGAATTTCGAACAGCATTCTAATTAATTGTATCGGATTAATGAGGAGATGGGAGCTAATAATAAAAAATAACGGTGAAAGAATAGATATTAATTTTATATCAATAAAATCTGTATGTTTGAGCTTTATTTTTGTTAATTTATGCGGTTGTAGTAGTTTTTGAGTAACGAATAAATGAATTCCAAAAACCTTTGTTACACTCAGTATCTTTAACGATGACAGCCTATAGGCTTTAGCAGTTTCCTGCATTATAGTAGCTAATTTAACCGTAATATAACGAGTCTCGTTTGCGTATAAATTAGCTCTTTAACAAAACACCATATACGAAAATCAAAACCGCACACTCACATTCTATTAAATTCGCTGACCGGTTTGCTTTGCTCCTGTTTTTGTTTGAGCACCGATTTTTCTTTTTTAGTAATTCCCATAACACATCATTTATGTTATATGTTGGCAAACGGCTAGTCCCGACATTAATATTAATATTAAATTGTACCATATTCGGATATGATTGATAAACAGTGCAAAGATATACTGATGTTTACAGTCGTAGTATGTTGCTTACTGCGAATAAATTTAACAGTTGTAGATATACGCCTTATAGGCCTTATTTGCTAAAATCAGAAATGTTATTAAATTAAAGGCTGATTATATCCGATAGAAACCTCATTTTGTATAATGAACAAACTTATTAACAGATTATAAAGTGTGAAACTGTAATTGTGGTAAGAAAGCTAAAAGAACAAATCCCGCGTGAAAGTATGCTTGTAGTCCTTCTCATATAAAGTTAACTGGATACAGACGATTATTATTTTTCTCGCTTATTAGACTGAATATAACCTCTTAATCAAGTAGTATCAATGGGATATACTGATAATCGAATTGAGTAAGCAAATTAAAAGAGTAAAGGGCCGATTGAACCGTTTCCACTCAACTGATACCATCATAACACTTTTGTTACGATACTACAACAGTGAACAACAAGCAATCTTGATTGTCTGCAACTGTTGCTTGGCACTTCCTTTCTTGTTGACAAAAAATACTCTCGTTGCGAGCATAAATGGTTAGCGTCTCGAGATGAATATGTCCGTTGACCTAGTCAGTTGCTTTTATTCAAGTTTCCCGGTTGAACAGATTAACCTTGACTTATATTTATAGTTGTGGCTGGTTTCCTTTATTTAAAGGATCACTGCCAAGAAACGGCCCGCCCTTTTGCAACGTTTGAAATATGTTACACAAACGGTTGGGATTGGGCTATTGGTTTTCCAGGGAATTTTCGACTACGGTATCACATGTGTATAATCTCACGAATCGGTGATAGAACCAGGTAATGTATTACTCAGTTAGTGACATTGGATAGTTGTCATATATTACTAATGTACTTTTGTCAATACAAATTTAATTTGGTGTATTATTCCGGTAATTGCAGATCCTTGCGATAACTATTTATAAACAACAATCCACCCCAAGTTTTTTCATAAATACGAAGGACTCGAAGACCTGAAACGGAGAAGCCGTAACAAGGCCCAACTTACTATTCCAATACAAAAACTTTATATCAAACAAATTAAAACCATGCCAGAACGAGACAAGGAACGCAATAAAGGACATGGTGAACATGGTGAACATGGCGGACATGGAGAAGCTGCCAATTACTATGGTCAGTATTCCCAGCAATCGGGATACCCCCCTCAGTCAGGTTATCCTCAGTCAGGTTATCCTCAGTCAGGTTATCCCCAGTCAGGTTATCCACAACCAGGCTATGAAGACCGAAATAAAGGCTATCCCCAGTCAGGTTATCCGCAGTCAGGTTATCCAGGCTATGAAGACCGAAATAAAGGCTATCCATATCCCCCACAAGGCTATCCTCAAGAAGGATATCATCCAGGACAATATCCTCCACCCGATGCATACAATCCATATGGTCCCTCAGGCGGGTATTCACCGACTCCTCCACCAACAACTGTCGTCGTTCAGCAAACAGAAAAGAAGAGTAGCAGAAATGACTTGTGTTTAGGCTGGTAAGTAACGGTCATGTATTGTGACTGATATTAATAACTTTTACATTTATGTTATTTGAATATCCATGGTCATCAGGAATTCTCACAACATCGCATATCCTCAAACCATATACTAATCATTCATCTCTTCATTTCCGTAGCGCTCTCGGTGCTTGCATATGCTGCTGTCTCGAATGTCTCGATTAAAAAGAAAACATTAATTCTGTCCCTTCCCGTTAACTCTCCTTTCCTCTTCTCTCCTCTCTCTTCAGACATACATACGCAGATTTCTGTTCTTTCTCACACGACCATCTCTGATATCACTCGTATATAATTTCATCATGTTGAATAAGCTGTATCTGTATTTTATTGCGTTCCGTTTGTAGTTAAGTTTAGGCTGACGTTGGTTACGCCAAATATTATAAGGCATGATTTCTTGTTAGACATATACACAATCACACGAATATTATTCTCAATTTGGTTTCATTAATATAGTAATAACAATAATGCGTGAGGTTTACCATGAAATAAGTGTATCAAGCGCAGAGACGCCGTGGTACATTGGAAGTCCATGGTGGCGTCCAACAAAACGTTACAGTACGGTGATGAATAATTCGCCAACGAGCGCATGTATCAGGCGCGATGATTATTTCATCATACAACTGTCAGTGATATTATAAGTAGGCAACGTAGCAGCTGTGCGTGTACGTATTGAAACAAGGGGATATAGTAAACCTAATCTGAGATATCAAAGAATGAAGACTTGTAATATATACAGCTTTATTACTCACACAAAATTTTCACTATAAGAATTTAATATTCAAGATGAGAAATATCTCACAATCGATATTACGTTCAAAAAATGTCTCGCCTTAACGAGCAAATAGCTAGTAATCAACAAGAGTTTTGAGTTAAACAGCGTGAGGATAACAAAGTACGCACGCATCCGTAGTAGTACGTTCACACTGTCGGGACTAACCCTAGACCCAGTGTGAAACTCCCAATAATAAAACTTGTAGTTAAACTGGAATCTTTATTGACAAAAACATTGTTTAGGTGCAACAAAACCAGACAAAACGAACGAACGTTAAACATAAACATCAGGCCGGAATTTTTCATATGATCAAGTGATATAAATATGATCAGCATATTAATATGTTGTGACATTTACAGTATATTAATATGTAGTAAGATAAAATTTACATGAGTTCCGGGTTTCGCGACTTTATCTTCTCCCAAACTTTTTCCCTGCTATGAAACACAACTTTCAGCAATTAATGTGTCCACTACATGGACAGTGAGCGGGCAAGATATATGGGGCAGACTGCAACAAAACTAGACAAAGTGAACATTCTGTTTTGTGACATAATAATAAATGTGAGGCGTATGTGACATTTGGAAAGGGTTGCTTGTATGGCACAGCTATGGCTCAGACATAATTTATAGACTCTTGGATTTGTTATGGATATATGACTAAATTTTAATTGAGACTGGCATAGTGTTTATTAACAATTATAACACGTTTCATTAGGCCTATCTCTATATAAAAATATTAATATGAAACTAATTTATATCAAGTCCACCATGGAACCAAAGAATTACAGTACTATTAGAAGCATTTTAAAGGAAGCTCAAGGAGAAAAGATTGTCCATATGTTTTTAAAATGAATGGCACCAAAATTCTTGAAAAATATCTAAATTAAGAAAAAATTACTTATGAAATCTACCAAAAAACGCAAAAACATAACTAATAATAATAAACGAGCCTTAACATCAACACCATAATGAACCGGAAAAAAAAAAAACTTGAAAAACTTATTTTTATATTAATGTTAATAACAACCAGGACAAATTTCCATAATTTTTTATATACTGTTTGAATGAGAATAGTAATATATACGATAATTTTGGTTCGCTATGGCCTGAGTAGTATAAATTCGACACAACTCATGACAAGCAAAATCTATATCGTATAAAATAATGGAAAACACTAGAATAAGTCATTAGGAGAGTAGTCGTTTGATCGGCAAATCAATTGTATCACGTCCATGGTCATAATGAACGCTCATAATTCTGATCGCGTTTGATAAACTGGGCGATTGATTATAAGACTAGCACCAATTCATCTAAAACCAAATTTGCGATTGATCAAATTACAAACTCCAATAATCATTATTAAACGCATTTTTTTGCGAGCTATTAATAGGATTTGTTCTCGATCTCTCGCTGCATTATAATATTTATAATCAGCTGACAGTGTAAACCAAAAGCTTGAAGCAATAATTCGAGCAATCGAGCCAAGAAAATTTAAAGTAAAATCTAAACCCGTTAAACTACTCAGTGAACGAAAATACCTAGAATACATCGAGAATCTATGGAAAACATATTTGATAAAAAGTCTGGACTGGACTCAGACTATCCATTTAACTTCATTTGACAAGCTAGCGACTGACATCCGCAAATTACGCGAAGAAAAGGGCGTTGCTGCCTCCACTTTAAAAAGTTTCTACCAGCGAAAAACAAATCCGAGGAAGAGAACATCCAAGAATGCAATACGAACAAAAAAAACAGAGAATGAAGACGTCAATAGCAATAATAATAATATGTAACATAGAGCGACCAAAGTATGGGGTACTCACCAATGACTTTGGGTTCAAGTATTCCTCTCATGCAATCGTTCTAGTTTTTAAAGAACAATAAAGTCAATATGACAAAATACGTGCACCAATTATTGTAAATATCCTGATTATGTTAATCTTTGCCATTAATGAAAACATGGGCTTCCATTTATACTATCATGCTATCATAGACTACAATCACAAAAATAACGTTGTTTGGTGGAGATCGTTGTTTTGGCTCTGTTCAAACAAAGAAGTTTCTATTTTTTACATACAATTGTTATTACGTGTGATGCGATCACTCTAAATGTGAGTTGACTTATAGTAATAGTAAAATTTTATTCGTCATATTTAATACAACTGCACAATTAATAATCGTGAAAAGGTCTAGATCACATCGCGCAGCACATATTTACGAACGAAAAAAATGGCCAGTACTGAACAGGAGATGTATCAGGACGCGAGGGAACAGTTGACAAAGGCGGAGACTGCAGCTGAAACGGCTGGAGGATAAACAGGAAGAAGGCCTTAGTCCAGTGGAGGAGAGAGTGTTTGACAGGCTGGACAAGGAAAGGAATGAATTAAAGCGGCGAAGAATGAGTGGGAGATACAAGTGCGAGCGTTTATGCCAACAACTGCTGAACCAGGTAACGACTTTGTGACTCGGACGTTGGGGACCTAGAGTAGTGCGTACATAAGGTAGAGTAGTGTAGACAGAATACGTGTGTACATAGTGTAGAGTAAACGTAGTAATACCTTTTTGTTATAAATTTTCAAATATCCGGGAAAGGGCAGTTATTTTCTTATGTTTTCTTTTTAGAAGATAATTGCTCGGCACTTTATTGTTCTCTGATTTGATGTCAATTTATTCTGGGGTATGCAGGTAAACTTGAAAAAGAAAAATGTAAAGCGGCTGAAAGGGAATTAGCATATGAACAAGAAAGAAATAAAAGGCTACATGTTGAAGCAATTTTTGGATGCAGCTTCACAGCTCTCCTTGTGGAAATCATATACTCCAACACACATTGAAACATTGTGGTTTCCTCTGGCAGGACGCCCACTTTCGTTCAATATACCGGCACCGAAGGTGACAAGGAAGACACATACCAAAAATATTTTACAGACAAGATACTAAACAACTAGATGATAATGAACCTATTAAAGCTGTAGATTCTCATATGACAAAGTATCTCAATGGAAAGGCCCCAGATATTTCTACTCATTCCAAAGACTATTCTCTAACTCCACATATTGTAGAAGTGCTGGGCGCCTCTTGGTTCATGCTTTATGCTGAGTTATCAAGGACAGGCTTTACAGTATGCTGATGATTGCATTGAAGCATCAGAAAAATCACAGTCTTTTTGACAGATTGTCATCAAATTATGTTTGTACAAATTGTTAGGGTGAGGACAAGGAAGGGCTATATTTGTTTTTTCTTAATTACAAAAGCAATTAACCCTGTTTCTCATGGCTCAACCACGATTCTTACATGTGGTAAGATGCCATTATCGAAATCTTCTTTACATTCAACACTTATTTTTAAAACTTAATTTCTTCAATTGTTCAGATATAGGCAATATAAAATCGCTGCTGATCGTATATATTTAAACTCAAAAGGTCTAACAGTTAGTGAACACAAAAAACCTTTATTATTATCGCTCAATTAAACAGTATTAGTATGGCTGGAATGCAAAAATTATCTTCCGACTTGAACAAAAAATGAGAATTACTGAATCAATCTGACTCGGAGACAACCAGAATTTATAAATTGTTAGTTAAGTTTACATCTCATAAGTATCGTACTTGAATTATTGGTGAAAGCATTCAAGTAAATAATCAACGCAACTCGACAATTGAGATGCGTCAAGTCGCATTTACTTTCGATTGTAATTGGACAAACGTCACGCGCGTTATACTGAGACGCAGGCGGAGCATCCGAGGCTTGTCAAAAATGGTGTATTAGTGGTTTATAATTCTAAAAATAATTTATTCTTCGTATCCTAAGGGATTCATTATCTGTATTTTTTTGTGCAACAGTTATGGTATTCAAAAGGGGTCCGTATCATTTCACCGACAGTTCATTTCGCCGACAATTTATTACCTAAAAAGGATAATTTTGAAATAATGTTGGTGAACATTTGTCGTGAAATAATTGTCGGTGAAATGATTGTCGGCGAAATGATCGCCTCCCTTCAAAAGAAATACTAATTGCAGATCACAGTTATTTGTTCTCAGCAATCATGTCGGCCAATATTCAGATCGAACAGACAACTTCCACATACTCTCCAATAACTTGTCACGTTCTTGACTCTTCATGTGGTCGTCCTGCGTCCGGAATACGAGTTCAACTGGAGTTAAAGAGCCCACCTGAAACTAATAATAAAACCGAGGATACTTGGGGTTTTATTGCGGAAGGGTATTCTTAGATCAACCGCACCGCTAATAGAAAATGTTATTATCCAAACTTATACTGTATTTTGCGGTTGTCTTATAGGGAGACAAATAATGACGGCAGAATCCCAAACCTGATCAATCCTGATCTGCTTCCACCAGATTGGAAGAAATCATTAAAGTTATTTGACTACGGTGATGGGCCACCCGCAAAGGCCATATTCAGGATCACCTTCTATACGAAAGAATATTTCGACAAATTGAAGCAAAAGACCTTTTATCCTTACGTTCAGGTACAGAAAAGTCGATCGATCGTCTTTGAATATTGCACGCCTTATTTACACATCCTCTTCTGCAGATAATCTTTCAAATAGAAGATGTGAATCAGCACTATCATATTCCATTATTACTGAGTCCGTTCTCATACACAACCTACAGAGGCAGCTAATTACGATGGACTTCAACGTATTCGCTCAAAAATGCATGCATGTATCAAGCTGATTGTATTATTATCGTAGTTTGTTATCAATACGTGTAATTATAAATGCCCAATTAGTACGTTCGTACAGCCGCGGTTGTTAACTGATGGAATGTCCAATGTTGCTCTACTCAGCTTGGGATAGAATATCAATCGATTGAATAAGAGGTTTTCAAATTCTGTCCCTAAGAGCAATCAATATATCATTTGGCACTGGGCAGGTCCTGTACGCTTCCAAAAATGTATCAGAGGAAGTATTGTATACAGTAATCTCCATCTCTGTGAGTTCTAGGCAAATTCTTGACAGTACAATGCGCAGCTGGTGTAATATGAATGAGCGATTGGTAGCACGGAATTTGTACTTTAAAAAATTATTACATAGTAACATAAATGTCTTTAACCATCACAATCACAACGCGAGCGCGAGCACGAGCACAAGCTTTTTTATTCGTATTCGTTTCATCTATCTCGTCAATACACAAAGCCTCAATAGGCCCTATTGATTTAAAGACTGACCCGTTTTACCTACAAAAGTGGTTAGATAAATGATAGATGAGAATTGCAATTTGAAACCTGGTGCTGTTGGATTGATGATTAAACTAGTCGTTAAATCGATATATATGAAGTGTGGTAACAAGTTTTAGATTCTCAGTCATCTGCAAGTTGTGATTACATGAGTAGATCAAAAATATGGTAGAGTATATCATGCAAAGAAACCATCCGATTTTGCGTCAGGACGAATTATATTCAAAGAACTTGCAACATAAGGAGAGAAAACGTTTCGCCCGGTCGTAAATTTTGATTGTCGATATGTATTATCATGTACATATCATTCCTTTTTTATTTGCACAATGACATTATT